AAAAAAAAAAAAAGAAACACTTGGATTCTGAAGGACCTTCATTTATGAGGTGGCACTTCTGCCCTTTCTTCGTAACTCTTTTTTTGATTTTTTAAAATGTTTATTCATTTTGAGAGAGAGAGAGAGAGAGAATGTGATTGAGGAAAGGAGACACAGAATCCGAAGCAGGCTCTCGGCTCTGAGCTGTCAGCACAGAGCCTGACAGGGGGGCTTGAACTCACAATCCACAAGATCGTGCCCTGAGCTGGAGTCAGACGCTCAACCGACTGAACCACCCAGGTGCCCCTCTTCTTCATAACTCTTTAACCGCCACTCAAACAACTGCTTTGTCTTGTGGAGGCTCTACTTTGACTTTCATAATTAAGGAAGATCTTATATGTAGGGGCTTAGGTATAATAGGGGTGGATGGTCCTTGAGATTCAGAGTTCAGAAGCTCTAGTTATGAGACCCTAGAGGGAGGGAGCCCTGGGTCTTGAAAATGCCCTCAATTCTGGGAGTGTGTGCTGAGCCTCAGAGATGCATAAGCCAGGGTTCAGGCAACAGGAGGCAACGGCAGTCTGGAGCACAGTATTCACTTCCTCAAGAAGGATGAGAAAGCAGGAGTGGACCTGGCCATACACTTAACCTTAGCTTCAAAACGGAAGAGGGATCACCAAAGACGTAATTAGACGCACTAATTACCCAACTCAGAGGCCAAAGTCCTCCTGATTTTGCATCTCTCGGTGCCCCTCCCCATTCCAACAAGATTGGGGGCAAAGAACAAAATAAGAGGAAGTTAGAAATAAGTAAATAATCGCTAAAGATATAAGCAAATGGTCGCTCAAGTAAAGAAGTAAGTAAGTAATCCTCAGCGTCTGCACCAGGTAACGTTGAAAGCCTTCAGATTCTACAAACCCGTCGGTTCTCTCTTCCCTTTGTTCTTCCTTCGCGCTCTCTGATGAGGAATGATTGATCAGTCTTGCCTGACCCTTCATTTTTAAAAGAGGGAAACGTTCCTAAATTCAGAGGTTTCCGGGGAAGAACTTGGAAATGCGGATATCCCCGGTGATTTACTCTACAGAATCCTAAGCTTTCTTATCAACACATTGATGTGAATTCCCCACACCTCCTTCCCTCTTAATCTGCTCACTGTTTGTACGGTCGAGATACCCGGCAATTGCCGGAGACTCAGGACTGAGTCATCCTCTGCCCCAGCCAGGTATCAGCGGCCACACCTATGATGTCCAGGCGTGTTGTTGGTAAGAGTGATCAGCACAATATACGGTTCCGGGGGGAGAAGTCCAGTGACAGAGCACCATGGCTTCTGACAAAGGTAAAACGGACCGGGGGGCCTGGCAAGCTCTATATTCATGAAAAGGCAGATATTCTGTGTGTGTGTGTGTGTGTGTGTGTGTGTGTGTGTGTGTGCGTGTCCTGCCTGTGCTTGTGTCCTTGAGCGTTTTTCAACTTTCCTGTGTATTAATATATTCATACGACTCTTAAACGGGATTTATTATTATTCTTAATACTAACTATTCACATCCACAAATGATTTTGATCAAATGACACCAAATCGATGCTTGTTTCACCGTAATAAAAAGTTCAGTGAAAAATACAACTGTTAAATAACAGTTTAAAAAATAGCAGTGGGGCCGCCCGGGTGGCTTAGTCGGTGTCTGACTCTTGATTTGGGCTCAGGCTCAGATTTCGCAGTTCATGCCATTGAGCTCCACGTCGGGCTCTGCACTGACAGTAAGGAGCCTGTTTAGGATTCTCTCTCTCCTTCTCTCTCTGCCCCTCCCCCATTCATTCTCTCTCTCTCTCTCTCTCTCTCTCTCTGTCAAAAATTAATTTAAAAAATAAGTACATGAAGTTAAAAAAAAGAAAGTCTTTTTTTTTAATGTTTATTTTTGAGACAGGAAAAGACAGAGTATGAGCAGGGGGGTGGGGCAGAGAGAGAGAGAGAGAGAGAGAGAGAGGGAGACACAGAATCCGAAGCGGGCTCCAGGCTCTGAGCTGTCAGCACAGAGCCCTACAACGGGGCTCGAACCCACGAATTGTGAGATCACGACCTGAGCCGAAGTCGGACGCTTAACTGACTGAGCCGCCCAGATGCCCCTCTTAGCTGTTTCTTTTGACTCTCTGCCCTCCCCTGCTCTGTTTCTGTATCTGTCTCTCTCTCTCTCAAAAATAAACAAGAATTAAAAAAAAAAAAAGGCGCATGCTTTACCTACTCAGCCAGCCAGGCACCCCAAAAGTACGTCTATATTAAGCCAGTGGTGCCCTGGCTTCTCTCCATACTGCTAAATACTTTGAGATAATCAAAGTTTAAAAGTTTAAAAACGTGCAGCTTTAAGAATAATAGAGAGGTTCCTTATACACTTTGCTCAGTTCCCCCCAATGGTTATGTTTTGCAAAACTATAGAATAATCTCACAACCTATGGCTTCTCAGCCTGTGGCTAAGATCAAGTGTAGAATAATATCACAACCAGAATACTAACATTGACACAATCCACCTATTTTATTCAGATTTCTCCAGTTGCACTTGTAGTCATTTATGTGTATTTAGTTTTTTCTTTCTTTTTTTTAATGTTTATTTCTTTGTTTTGAATTTTTAAAAAATGTTTATTTATTTTAGAGAGAGAGAGAGAGGGAGACAGAGCATGAGCAGGAGTTGGGGGGGGAGGGGGTTGCGCAGAGAGAGGGAGACACAGAATCCAAAGCAGGTTCCAGGCTCTGAGCTGTTCGCACAGAGCCTGACGTGGGGCTCGAACTCACAAACTGTGAGATCATGACCTGAGCTGCAATCAAGTCGGCTGCTTAACCGACTGAGCCACCCAGGCGCCTCTGTGTGTATTTAGTCGTAGGCAATTTTGTCACCTGCAGAGGTCTGTGTTTTCACCACCATGATCATTCCAACAGTACAGAGATATTTTATTGCCCTTTTATAACCGAACCCTCCTTCCTCCTGCCCCACCCCTGTTCTTAATTCTTGAGAACCACTGATCTGTCCTCACTTCTAAAATTTTGCCACTCAAAATGTTAGACAAATGGAATCATGCAGAATGCAACTTTTTGAAATTGCTCCCGCCTCCCCCAGCATAATTCCTTGGAGATTCATCCAAGTTATTACATGTATCAATAGTTTGTTCCTTTTTATTGCTAAATTCCATTCCATTTACCACGGATTGTTTAACATCTGGACGTCTAGGTTGATGCCAGTCTTTAGATATTACAAATCAAAGCGATAGAAACATTTGCATACAGCCTTCGTGGGAGCCTACATTTTCGTGTCTCTGAGATAAATGCCCAGGATGCAGTTGCTGGGTTATATGGCAGTTGCATTTTCAATTATTGTTGTTGCTTTTACTTTTTTTTTAAATTTTTAATTAATCTTTATTTTATTTTATTTTTTTTAACGTTTATTTATTTTTGAGACAGAGAGAGACAGAGCAGGAGACAGAGCATGAACGGGGGAGGGTCAGAGAGAGGGAGACACAGAATCAGAAACAGGCTCCAGGCTTTGAGCTGTCAGCACAGAGCCCGACGCGGGGCTCGAACTCTCGGACCGCAAGATCATGACCTGAGCCGAAGTCGGCCGCTTAACCAACTGAGCCACCCAGGCGCCCCTCTTTTTTTTATTTTAGAGAGAGAGCGTGGGGGAGGGGCTGAGAGAGAGGGGAAAAGAGAGAATCCCAAGCCAGCTCCCCACTCAACGTGGAGTCTGAAGCAGACTCCCACAACCCTGAGATCATTACCTCAACTGAAATCAGGAGTCAGAGGATGGACCAACGGAGCTACCCAGGTTTTTAATACAGAAAAAGAATTAAGGTTGTTGTTTTCTTTTTTTTTTATTTAAAAAAAATTTTTTAACGTTTTATTTATTTTTGAGACAGGGAGAGACAGAGCATGAACAGGGGAGGGTCAGAGAGAGGGAGACACAGAATCCGAAACAGGCTCCAGGCTCTGAGCTGTCAGCACAGAGCCCGATGCGGGGCTCGAACTCACGGACCGCGAGATCATGACCTGAGCCGAAGTCGGCCGCTTAACCGACTGAGCCACCCAGACGCCCGGTTATTGTTTTCAATTAAGAAACTTCTGGGACACCTGGGTGTCAGTTGAGCAACCAACTCTTGATTTCAGCGCAGGTCATGATCTCTCATTTGTGAGGTTGAGCCCTGCATTAGGCTCCTCACTGAGCATGGACCCTGCTTGGGATCTCTCTCTGCCCCTATCCTCTCTCAAAATAAATAAGTAAACTTTAAAAATAAAAATAAAATAATAATAATGACTAAGAAACTGCCTGTTTCCTGGAGTGGCTGTGCCAGTTTATGTTCCCACCAACAACGTATGAGAGAGCCACTCTCTCCGCATAATATTGTTCTCTCTCTGTCTCTTCGTTCCTCTGTGTATATATTTAGGTATCCCATAATTGATAGTAGTGAGACTCGTTCAGTCATTTGTTCAATAAATATCTACTGCCAACACGTTTCAGGCAGTGTGATGATAGAGTCTAGAACAAGATATTCATAATCCGTATCTCACATAATTTATAATTCATTGTTATTATGGTCGTGTAAATACCAATCAAAATATAGCATGATATGGGAATGCAAACTGGTGCAGCCACTCTGGAAAACAGTATGGAGGTTCCTCAAAACATTCAAAATAGAACTACCCTACGACCCAGCAATTGCACTACTAGGGATTTATCCAAGGGATACAGGGGTGCTGTTTTGAAGGGGCACATGCACCCCCATGTTTATAGCAGCACGATCGACAATAGCCAATGTATGGAAAGAGCCCAAATGTCCATTGATGGATGAATGGATAAAGAAGGTATGGTAAATATATACAATGGAGTATTACCTGGCAATCAAAAAGAATGAAATCTTGCCATTCACAACTACGTGGATGGAACTGGAGGGTATTATGCTAAGTGAAATTAGTCAGTCAGAGAAAGACAAAAATCATATGACTTCACTCATATGAGGACTTTAAGAGACAAACCAGATGAACATAAGGGAAGGGAAGCAAAAATAATATAAAAACAGGGAGGGGGACAAAACATAAGAGACTCTTAAATATAGAGAACAAACTGAGGGTTGCTGGAGGGGTTGTGGGAGGGGGGTGG